ACCTAAAAACTGCAAATTGATACATTTTGCTTTTGAAGCATCACTGCTTGAAAGCAGAAGGAACATTCTAATTTTATAACAATTAAGTTTAAAGAACCTATTTTCATGCCAGAACATGAAAAAAGAGTTAAGTAAGATCCCACACAAAGTTATTCAAAAGTAAATTCCAATAAGTGCAATTACAATCAAATACGTACACATAAATTGCTAATTCCATGTTGAATCCTATTTTCAAAAATAAATACAGTTGATAGCTGCATCCAATTAAACTTTTAAAAGCACAAATATACAGAACAGTAAGATAGACAAGTTTATGAATTCATAACTGTTTTTCTTTTTTATATATTCTTTTTCACATGATCAATATATGTCGGGCATGAACAACCGAAACCCACATGTGTAGAATTCAAACTAGCTACTTTATAGTTCTATACCCATTTCACAGGAATCTCCCCAGACTGGTAGCTTTTGCTGGGGAAGACTAGATAAGAATCAAGGCATTTGGGTGGGGGTGGGGGTGGGTGGGAAATCAGACGTTGCCGTCTTATATTTACATAAGGAGTCCAGACTAATTCCTCGCTTGAGCCCTTCTCCCGACTGGGACGGTTGCTCTCCAACAATATAGCACATATGTCATTTAATAATTCTTGATTACATAAAAACAGAGGAGACCGTTTATCCAAAAACTATCATTCTTTGCCTACTTTACACATAGATGAAATGAAAACTGCCAAATGTACAAGCTAGATTCAAAAATTACACAGATACCTGAGATCGCACTGCTAACCTCTAAAAGGTAATAAAAAAGGTAAGCTCCCAAAATATGTTTGTTTTTGCTTTATTAGTATCTTAAAGGTTTTGATTGCTTTCCATCACAACATATTGCAGATAGCCCTTGAAAAGTAAAATCAAGCTTACACATAATGAAGGTAAAGCTTAAATGTTTTGGATACATAACGCTAAGGCAAAAGTCAATGGAAAATATCCTGTTGCAGGAAAAGACAAGGTAACTAAATACTATCACTGTTGGCTACAAACATGAGCTTATAACAACACAAAGATACAGTTATTGATACGCAGTCCTGGACAAATGAAATCCACTAGGGCAGTTTTAAAAAACTGCCATATCTAAGAAATCAGTTCCAAAAAGTGAGATCCTTTGTCTGAATCAGAAGAAACTAGCCTTAAGAAGAAATGAAGGGCCACAAGTAAAAGTGAAATGTTATTTATTTTTTAAATTTATATGCCAACCATCTCACTGCTAATATTATGGACCAATTAAAGAAAAAAAAAACAAATAGACAAGCTATAGACAATGCTAGCTAAAAAGAATGAAGAAAAAGCAGATATTTACTGGTCATGAAAATTACTGGTCAGAAACTGATACTTGGTAAAGTAAAGGGTACTAAAGTACAAAGTTATATAACCTCTAGAATCTTTGGACTATGATTTTCATAATCCATGACTGTTGAGTATGCTGACTTGAGCTTTGGGAAATTGAACTCAAGATATCAGTGCAAAAAAAAAAAGATGACAGACTTTGGAAACAATCCATACAAAATTCAGCATTTTATACAATCTGGACATATATTTTTATTAATCGGTTTAAATGATAAATACCTATTATATTTAAAATACAATCTCTCTTTAGGACTGTGAGTTCATGCAAAAAACTGACAAGCAGCACTAATAAATACTAACATATTTGAATGGTACATTTATAAGTCTTCAACTTTCATAACTTTCACCCAAATGCATTTGAAAAAAGTTGTATAATGTGTGTAACAGTTAAGCATAATGTATAAAAAATGAGTATAATGTATATCATATTTGAAATACAAATATGATATACATTATACTCATATATTTCTGAGCTGTGTTTTCTGTTTTTAATAAACACAAGTGTTTCTCAGATATACATACTTCAAAGCATGACTTGGGGAAAATTAAGTTTGACTTGCAGCTCTCTTTCTGAAAAGAACTAATATTCATTTTCTTTCCTTATACCAAATGTTTTCCATTAGGGAAAAAAGAAGGGAGGATAAAATCATTTTACATATCTGTTGCTTAAAAAGTATAAATACTATATATTATATGCTGAAATTTTGCTCTCCTGTGGGGTTGCCTTAAAAAAATCCAATATTTCATTTGCCTCTTAGAATACTCCTGTACATTTTATACTTGGAAATAATTCTTGCTGTGTAATGAAGTTTATTCCTACATAATGCTTATGTGGTTAAACCTTAAATACAGTAAACCTTACAGTAAATATTTCAGTTTTTGTTTGTTATGCTCTACTTCAGAAGTTCTCAGATTTTCTCAGTTCAGTGTCCTTATTGTCTCAGTAATTTTTTCATGGTGCCCCTAGTTCATGTGATGTTCAACTGATGTCAAAAACTGCTGTATTTCTCTCGAAAAAATTAAATATCCTGTGACACACCTGTGAGTATCCTGTAGGGCCCCAAAGGCTCCATGGTGATCAGCTTGGGAATCATGGCTCTAATTTATAATTCAATATGATTTTGTTTATTGTTTGATACACTCAAACACCCACACATACAATGCTGTTTGGCCTGATAAGGAATCCCTAAGATAATTCACAATTACTAGGTGCCCATTATTGAGACAGATATAGTTCCCCACATATACTTACATGCAATATTGTCACATAAAAAGGTTCCCCAAAATAATCAAAGAAATTAAGTTTTGATTACAGTTAAAGATTAAAGATTATTAAAGAAAATTACAATATAACAGACAAATCCATAAATAATATTAAAGTGGAAATAGGAATAAAATGATCATTACCCCTAAAATTAAATTAATTATATGCCAGCACTCCAGTTCATTAGTTGTCATTAGTTTGATCTTCTTTATATTTAATTGTTATCTAATACTTGCTAAACCAAATCAAATTCAATTTACATTAAGATTTTCATTAGAAATAATGTAATGATGTAGACCATAATTTTTGGATGTATAGAAACCAGCAGCATGCAGTGTTGGGCAATTGCCAGTTAGGCCAGGGGGAAGGGACAAGTGAGGAATTAGCTTGGAGTTGTTGCATAGCATAAGCATAACCTCTCAAAGTTCTTTGGCAAACCTGCATGGGTATGCAGCAAGGCAGGCTGCATGACTGGAACTGCTGGCTGTTGGCACTGTTGCCTTCAAGTTCCTCATCTCTGCCTTCTGACGATGTTGTAGCAAGGCTTCCATTATCTTCTGGGGCAACCCAGCAGCTACTTGTGGGTCAATAGCCATCCCGGTGTATTTTCTTTTACCCAGGGGTGTGAGAAATGAGTTTAATAAAATTAATGTCAGGCTCAAGCAATGAGAACCATTTGTGAATAGCCTCAGGTTGTAACTTTATCGTTCATCACCTATGTTACAAGAATCTCATCAGTTTACTTGCTTTCCCCTGGGAATGAATAGATAAGGTTTGACAGATTTCAGAGGAGGTCATGCTTAAGGTATTTATAGCTGTGCAACAACTCCAAGCTAGGCCTTCATTTGACTCCTCCCTCCAGCCTAGCTGCAATTCCCCAACATGCAGGTACTATATCACAAGAAAAAGAAAGCACTCTAACATAATTACATCTTTAACAAATTAAATTCATACGCTGCCCTGTTCTTTTTAAAACACTTGCTGTAGAACACTTACAGTATTATGCATATTCATCAAGTAAGAAAAAACTGTCATAAATATTAATGAATGCAATACAAACCATGATTATTAATATTTGATGAGTTTATTAGTGGAATGCATAACATTGCCTTTAAAAAGGCCTCTGCTCAAAAGGTCAAAAAGAAAAGGAAAAAAAAATCCTTTACAATGTCTGAAGTTTGTTGAATGTTTGTTGACTAAGCCTCAATATATATGATCACATTAATATACTAGATTTATTTACTTGGGCAATCTGGTGAGGTAAATGACGATAGATTTTACTGAATGTCAAAAATCAATTTCAAAACTCTCCTCAAAAAACTATTTGCTGGGAGAAGCAGAAACAATTTTACTTCTAGAGCAGTAAGGTTCACAATGACAGCCATACCAATTTTCAAATATAGGGAATATATTTTAAGTCTTCTGTAACTGTAAATTCATAAAATATATACTTTTTATAATGATGTTTCCCATAAGAAGACTTTTTATTATTATTATTTCAATGACTATACCTAGTGCTTGCTGACCAGTACCATCTACCCTTCTGGAAAGCCAAACATTTCACATATGTTTGACTTTCCAGCAGGGTAGTTGGTCCTGGTCAGCAAGCACTAGATCAGCGGTTCTCAACCTATGGGTCGCGACCCCATTTGGGGTTGATCGACCATTTCACAGGGGTCGCCAAGCAAGGCTGTCTGCCATTTTTTCACCCTTTTCCGGCGGGTGCCTTATCTCCCTTGAGCTGGGCCAGCTGGTGGTCGGCCTGTTCCATCTTTGCCACTTGCCAGCTACGCCTCGGCTGGCGCGGGGGGCGGAACCACGCATGCGCAGCGCTCCCGGGCAGGGAAAGTCCTTGACTTACGACTGGTTGGGTAGTCCTCGACTTACGACCGGTTTAGTCCTCAACTTACGACCGGTTGGGGGTCGCGGCATTAAAAAGGTTGAGAACCACTGCACTAGATATATCTTTTTCAAGATATCTTTTTCGATTCAAGAACTGAAGCAGTTTGTGTTTTTAAACATGTCATCAAATCATACATATTCAAAGCAATATTATCCATTTCTTAACCCCACTATATGTCCAAGTCTTAAAATGACACTTTTGAAGAGCTATTTTTAAATTTCACTTACCCACAGTATCACAAGGCTCATCTTTATGCACACAGAAATCCTTCCTAAAATTGGGGTGAAAAAAAGACAAACCCTTAATTTTTTTTTTGTGACAAATCATTTATTATTGTTTAACTAATCTGTGCACATTTAAATGATTTTGAAAATAGCAAATATCTACACAAAGAGCATTTTCAAGGTAATCATGATATTAACAACATAAACTTTTACTTAGGATTACATAAAAAGCAATTTGCAATCTATTGTATTTAGTGTCAGATTTGTTACTTTCTCTCATCTTTGGAAATCCATTGTTTTTAAAAACTCTTCTCTCCATATACTTTATAATATAGAACCGGCCATGTTCTTTGTTTTTAATGTTTCAAATGCAATTATTTAATTTAGATGAGTAAACAACGTATGTAATTAAAAATCAAAGCCAAATAAAAGTATACAGTAGATGCAAAAGAATTTCCAACAACTGTAACAATTAATATACAGTAAAATTTATAGCATCATAAAATGATAATAAAAGTCTGGATTGTAAGCACTTTGCTGATACAATCACTTTAATTTACTCAGTGAGTGAGATGGACAGTTTCTAAATGTGATATAAAAATAAATAAATTTATATAACATTTTTTACCAATAGTGTTAAAGGATTGCAATCCTACAATACAATACAATATACAATACTCTATATAAATATAAGCATTTGTTTTTATATTAAGATGGCGGCGCCTGGATCAGCTGGGGCAGCATTGTCTCTAAGGGGAAAGGAGGGATATAAGGGATATAGGCCACATGATCAGGAAGGTTTTAATGTGTTTGAGCAACGTGGTGGGACTAAGCTAACATACGACGGACAACCTTTGCTAGTATGCCGAGGTTTTAGCTTCAGCTAAAGATGAGATCTTTAAGCAAAAATGGTTGTTTGCGCTGTTTGAAATTGTTCTGCCGGAAGCAAGATCTGATTGCTCCACATGGAGCTCCGTTTCCATCTGTCCTGTTTGCCATTGTTCGCTCTCTAGAGACTAAAATGGACGTTCTGAAACTTGAGCTGGCGATGAACAAGGAGTTATATCGGAGGTGGTGACCCTTTGAGAGCTGTATGCAACAAAATTTCATTTTGATATATGACGATTGGTGTACATTCACAGTGACAATAAAGTTGTTATTGTTATTATTATTGTTATTATTAATGCATAGGCTCCCTTTGAATTTTGCCATAGCAATACTGTACATTTAGGTATGCTACTCTTAATCTTAGACTACAATAAACTTCATCTGGGAAAACCTGTCTTTTAGGTTTTGTAACCAAAAAAATGTGCCTCTAATTACTGTAAGTTCAAACTTCATTGAGCACTTCTCCATTCTTGTGGATGCACTGATTTGGGTTTTGCTATGTGTTGTTGCCATTTCCTTGTGAATCTCTGTTGAAGCCCTCTGCAATATTGGTTTATTTTTATTTTTTGCTTTTTCTCAAAATAGAGCAACAATATAACAATGAGGAAAGATAAAAGGTAAAAATTTCCCCTGTCCAGTCATATCCGACTTAGGAGATGTGCTCATCTTCGTTTCCTAGCTGAGGGAATCAGCGTTGTTTGAAGATGTTTCCGTGATCATGTGGGCAGCATGACTATATGCCAAGGTGCAATGAACGTTATTACTTTCCCATCTAAGTGGCACCTATTTTTCTATTTTGCACTTGCATGCTTTCTAACTGCTAGGTTTGCAAGAGCTAAAACTGCCAACCTGATGATGATGATGATGATGATGATGATGATGATGATGATGATGATGATGATGATGATGCTTGGGAAAATCCCATTGGAGGAAAATTCCACTTAGGGTTAGGGTTAGGTCAATATGAAGTCGGAGAGCAAAAAGGATATCGCCAAAATTTCGGAGTGCTTGGGTATGGTTAGGAGGGCACTGACTTTTCTAGCCTGCCCTATCTATGTTTCCTGGTAAAATGCATGGGAAAATCCCATTGGAGGAAAATTCCACTTAGGGTTAGGGTTAGGGTTAGGGTTAGGGTTAGGGGGGAGGGGGGAGGTTCCCCTTAGGTCAGGACCAGCCATGTCTGGGGGCTACGGTGTAGAAAGGGTGGGGGGGGAGGGTGGGGGGATGAAGGAGGAGAGAGGAATTAGTACGGTCAGTGGGAGAGGCAGATATGGCGGGAGCAGAGGACCATATCAAGTTAGGGGAGCGCGCACACGCTATTTACAAGCTTGTGGGT